TACATGAATATCCCAACAAGAGTAGGAGTGTATACACACACACACACACACACACACACACCCCCCAACTCTCATGAAGTCATTGAACAAATTGCAATGCTTTGGAAGGTAATTTTACCCAATTTAAATTACCTAAAATTTTTGAGTTTACAAGAGAATCCTTTAGGGATTTAGGTTTATGGAATTTAATTTCCAATTCTTGTAGTATACTTTGGAACAAATTAAAACACTAAGACTTTTCTTGAATCTCATAAACCTGGCCATAGATTGATTTACATATTTTAAATACACATTAAACTAACTGTGAAATTTAATTTTCTCAATTTCTAAGTGATTAAGTATTTAGCAGGAGATACTCAAAAATTAAGAATTAAACAGGAGATGCTTCAAGATCTTAAAAATGTAAAAGATGTAAATGTAAAAATGTAAAAGACCCACACTCTGTTACTATTTTCTTTCTGATATAATTTAAAGAGCCAGTATGACAAAATAAAACATATTCAGAATTCTCTAGAATTTTTAAAGAATAGAGACTAGAAAGCTGCACATTCATTTAGGAATCAACCAACAATTTTTAGGTATAGGTTTAAGAGCTATAATTCCCATAGAAAATTAGCCAGTAAAGTGAATGTCTCCTCTGTAATACCAATGGGTTCTTTGTTACCTGCCTCATTCTAGAACTGGAGAAGAATGGTGTCAAGATTGAGAATTAACGACATTATCCACTCCAAGATAGACAACATACAAACAAGACAAAAATCAAATTATTGTCTGAATTTTTTTTCAACTAACCTTGAACCAGTTAAACTGAAAACTCACAACCAGCCACAGGTTTCATGGAAAGGCCAGGATTGTGCTGTAAAAAAGTGAATTTCTCTGTAGTTTTGATACTGAATCTGTGAATTCAGTATAAATTCAATATATAGAAGAGGCCATATGCATCAATGTGTCCACTCAACAAATGGATGGCTTTTGAAGGTCTCTGTGTTCCTTATGCACTCTTGGCAGGTGTTGGTAATACATTTTTTTATTAACCAAAGGTACATTTATTATGTGTTGAATTGCTAACATTAAATGTGTTGTGTTAAGTAGAATATGAAAATTCATTCCACTTGCTTCCTTTCTTAATGTGGCAATAAGAACATAATTATTATTTTATTAATGACATATCTTTATTTTACTTCTTTTTTGTTGTTTCACAATAAGGATTTCTCCCCTCAAGTGTGGTCACCATACTTTTGCCACCACCAGAGCGCACATAGTGCTATAGTGCTCCACCATAGTCTGCTCTCCCTCTTTTCTCTATCCCCCTCCCTCCCTTCCTGGCTGCCTCAGGTCCGGGGTCAGCCTTCAAGTGTCAGTTTTAAAGTTTGTTTCTCTGAGCCTTTGCTTGGTTTCTATATATTCCACCTGTAAGTGAAACCACCTGGTTTATCTTTCTCTTTCTGGCTCATTCACTTAGGATCGTCCTGCCCAGTTCCATCCATGCTGCAACAAATAGCATGAATTTATCTTTTTTGACTGCTGATTGGTAATGCATTTGTGAGATGGAATTGAAGAATTACAAAAGTATTGGGTATTGTTTCCCTCTTTCGCCCACTACATTTGTTTTTCCTTCTTCCTCAATTCAAGAAGAATGTTAGAAGATGATTTTGTGAACTTTCTTTGATATAAACCTGGCAAATAATAGGTAGGGAAAAGACATCAGGACCAAGTACTTAGAGCCTTTTATTTGCTTTCACATCAAGTCCGTTTGAAACCTGCCACAGATTGAGTCGATTTGTCTAAGTGCCTGTCATTTGCTGCAAGGTAGAAATCAGTAGTCTCCATACATTTGAACCAAGATTTAGAAAACACCGTTGGAATGGATTTGGGTGGATCCAACCCACATACAGAGACAGGAAAGGGAATGGAGCCCTGAAATGAAATGACCACGATGTAAACAACAGAAAGAAGTATTCAGTGGGTAAGATCACACGGGGAGACCAGGAGGGAGAAGAAAGGAGTGTTCCAGATCAAACCCTGCTGGGCATGATTTGCACCTAGGAAAAGCGCTTTATGTGAGAATTAAAGCAGCAGGTGGTCGCAGTTGTGATAATACTTGGGACTCAGTCAATTTGTCCTGGTGCACTCTTGGGTCAGGCTTGGCTTCAAGAAATGCTTTAGTATTTGTGCCTCCCCTCTGCTATAGGCCTGTTCTTTCAGACCGGGCTCTCAAGTCATTGTCCTGAGCCTTTATGACTTCAAATCTTCCTGTATCTGGGGCACATGAAAGAGCTTTCCTTGGAACCTGGCTAGATGCTGGAGAGTCTTTCTACTTTTTTTTTTAAATGAGAAAATCCTCAGTCAACTCTGGCCAGGTGAAGAATGGATACTGTAAGGACAAGCTACCACCTTGCACATGAGTTTGCTACAGGAGTAAGGCCTTCTCTTTCACCACAACAGTAATAGCAGGTACTGTGAGTTAACAATAAAAATCAGATTTTAGACATATTAGCAGCAAGTTGTTCATATAAAACAGGAGAAAATACGCTAGGATTAAGAAAGATAAGTGTAGGGTAAGTAAAGTATCAGGCTTTTCTGCCTGCCCACCATTAGGATAGATGATGGATCCTTGAGGTCCATCATGCGTAGATGGGATTCACCTGGGCTGAGAGACTGGGCTTATAAGGGCGGCGTCATGGGGATGCCAGCAGAACCTCGAGGAGCAGAGAGCAGAGGAGCAGAAGAACCATGAGAAACAGAACGAATGGAAGAGCAGAGAAGCAGAAGCAGAACCATGAGAGGAGCAGAGAGCAGAGAAACAGAACGCCGACAGCCCAGAAACAAGACTTGCTGGGGGGAGGCCTGCCAACCTCCCGGCCCCCCAGCACCCCTGCCTGCTGTGTACCTGGTGAATCCCAATAAAGCCTGCAAAAGCCACTGAGGGCTCCAGAACTCTCTCCTCCTTACTCCGTCTGCTCGAGTCATAGAGATCCTGCTCTGTGTGGCCATTCCTGCCACTACAGTAAGAATAACACCTTCCTATTATTATTAGATGATTATTAACAAAAGTGTAACATTTCAATCATTTGAAGTTGTTCAACTTTGCAAAAGTATAAATAAAACCTAATAACTTTTTATATTACTGTAGGGTAAGTAAAGTATCAGGCTTTTCTGCCCTCCCGCCATTAGGATGGATGATGGATCCCTGCGGTCCTGAATGCATGCCTGATGGCGGGCACCTGGAGTGGGGTGTGGGCACGCGTAGGTGGGTTCACCTGGGATAAGAGACTGGGCTTATAATGGCGGCGTCAGAGGACTCCAGGAAAGGGGAACAGCAGAAGCAGAAGAGAATAAGGCCACGAGAGAACGTCAGAGAGCCCAGGAAGAGTGAAGACTTGCTGGGGGCTTGGAGGTCTGCCAGCCTCCAGGCCCCCCAGCACCCCTGCCTGCCGTGTACCTGGTAAATCCCAAAAAAAGCCTGCAAAAGCCATCGAGGGCTCCAGGACTCTCTCCTCCTTTACCCGTCTGCATGGGATCATAGAGATCCTGTTCTCTGCCGTCCTGCCACTACAATGACATAAACAAAATTATTTTTCTCCTATTTACTTTCCAAGGCAGCAATTGTCATAGGCTAGATACTGGATAGAAATAGCTATATCTGTTGGCATTTGAGCTAAAGAGATTTTGTAATTAAGGAGGAATGAAAGTAACTTTTTTCTTGATTGAAACACTTAACTCTGATTACTTTTTCATGTTAGGGTATTGTTAGTCTTTTGCCCTTACGTGAGCGGACAAATTTGGAAATAAGCTTTCCACTTTGGAAAATGCTAACACGATGACTTTAAAGTAGCGAAATCGCCCATGGACTCCTAAAGGAGGAAGGAGCAAAAGACGTGTTCATGTCAAATTAGCAAATCGTAAAGCATGACAAGTATTAAAATGCATGATGTTGGGGTACAAAACCATAAATCTATACCATCCCTATATATTTATATATATGTATTTATATTTTCATATATTGTATATTATATATTTTATATACATTTTATATAGTATATTATCTATATATTCTTGATTCATTTTTCTTCCCTTAGCTAGAATCTCTTCCCACCCCATGTCTGGCCACCCGGGTCGTGGGAGGATGTGCTGACCGTGTTCCCGTTCCCAGTCTTGTTGCTAGGGGACGTTGGGGGTGGGAGTGGAGACGTCTTGTGTCTGGCTGATGCCCTGGCATATCTGTTGGCAGCATTTGGGCAAGTGCATTTGATTGGTGAGGTTCCAAAAACATCTGGCAGAAAAGCTGCTCATATTTTGCCATTGATTTTCTTGAGAATTTTTACAAATGCCTAACTGACGGATAGAGAGTTCTAGGAAAGCTCAGAATTGGAGTTTATGCAGGACTGAGCCGTCAGGGGCGTGTTCCTTGGTCATAGTCGGGTAGAGGGTTGAGTAGAGAGCCTTTGTCTTTCTCAGTATTGAAACCCTTTGTTTAGTTCGCGCTGAAATTTGGGCTCACCTGAGGAGAGTTTGCTTTCCACGGAGCTCGCTGTGGTCGCCAGGAGAGGCCCATGCATAACCTACATGTGTAACTGGTGAGCGGCCAGGGCAAAAGTCAAAGACCAAAACCCAGTGAGCATTCTGTGCTGATATTCTTTTTTTTTTTTTTTTTTAATAGAGGCATGCTTTATTTATTTGTTTGCTTGTTTGTTTGTTTGTTTGTTTATACATGCACTGGGTACAGTCAGAAGCGCGGGAGGGTGAGAGAATTCACCAGAGCCAGAGCGGGGAGCAGAGCAGGCAGAAGGACCGAAGTACACTGCTGAGGGGAGCAGCGGGCGGCAGGAGAGGTCTGCGCGCCATGTGGGACCCTCCTCTGGTGGCCGGGGAGCAGCCGGGGATCGAACCGGCGCCGCAGAGGCCGCGGGCAGCTTCGCAACCCAGCGCTCAACCGCTGCGCCACCGGGGAGGCCCATGTGCTGATATTCTTTATGTCCTGTGTGTTCCAGGAACTTGCACAAATGAACCCTTGGAACTGGAGAGACCCAGATATAGCTCCAAGACAAAGTTCCTCCATTACCACGTGAAAATCTCCCCCAGAAAAGGAATCTGCCTGCTATTTTAATGTGACACATGACCAGGTACATGGAGCCAGTGCGGAGACACCATATTGCCGCCTCCTGATCAGCAGCTGACACCCCTGAAGTCCCCTTTTCTCCAGCTCTTCGCATTTTGTGCTTAAAAGAGGAGGCCCAGCCTCTGCTAAGTTTGCCTTGCTTTGTGGCGCTGGCCCCAAGGGACCATCTTCTTTGACTCAAGTAAGTAAATCTGCTTGCTAAAGCCTCATGACTTTCCTTTAAAAAAATGCATTATTGAGGTCAAGTTGGTTTACATCACTGTATTTACTTTAGAGGCATGGATTATGGATTCACAGCTGCTCAGATGTTTGTTAACATACCCTGTCCACCACCAAAGCACCCACATGCTGCACTACAGTCACTGGGTCTCATCCTCTGCTTTGCTGCACCCCCCAGTGACCCTCTCTGGTAGCCTCAATGCTACAGTCAGATTTCTAGGATTTGTTTTGGTTTAGTTTTTACTTTTGCTTATATTCCACACGAGTGAAATCATGCCATCTCTGTCTTTTTTCCTTCTGGCCTATTTTGTTTAGCATAATCCCCTCTAGTTCCATCTGTGTTGTCCCAAGTGGCAAGATCTCATCTATTTAAGTAGCTGAGCAGTATCCCATGGTGCATATATCTACCACTTCTTCCTAAATTCCCATGTCTCGAGTGCCTTGACTCCTCAAGCAATCAGACCCCTTTAGGGAGGTCATGCCTGGTGCCTTCTGTCCTGGCAGCAATGGGTAGGGATAAAGAACAAAGTCTGGGGGATTTTTCTGGATGTGCTGGATGATGAATTGGTCCTTGTGATATGATCACAACCCTCCTGCACTCTGCAGCTTTATTTACGTTAGATGGCCAGCCAGAATGCTTGTAAAGATTAGTCCTCCTTGCTGAGCAAGAACCCCCAAAGCATGAGGATTTGTGTTTGTATGACTATGACTTTGTGGAAGCTTGTTTCTGTTTTGTAACCCCTAAACTGAGGGTATAACACTTATGTTTTCAGAGTAAACCAGTGATGAAATTGGATGACTGTATGAATGAAAAGAGTGGTTTGAAAATGGGTAATATAAACTTCAGTATAATCAGTACGGCAGTACAATCTTCAATAAATTCTAGATATGAGATTTGAACATAAAGCCCTAAGGAGAATGTTCGTACTCGAAGTTTACGTATTCCTAGAAAAACACTCCAGGTGGGCGCTCACAGCCACAAATATACAAGGTCATGAACCCATCCTCTTAAGTGAATTACATTATGAATGTGGAATAGAATACATTCAGAATCATTCTGCTGATGATGTGACAACACTGATGAGAGGATTTCATCACAATTGACTCAGGGAAGAACATGTTGTTTAAGATCACTGACATGTGGTCAGCTGAAAGGGAGACCTTTCTCAGTGGCATGAAAATCATGGTTTTGTGTTGGCTAACGTGATCAAAGTAAAACAAGGCTGGCTGAAGCGGGATTCTGCTGGGACCTGTGTGCTTGATTTTGCTTAATCTGTACACTGCAATCATGATTTCAATGCTTGGGGCGGGCGGGTTCCTCTCTCCAAGGTAATGCAGGAACATGTGGAGGCAAGTTGCGGACACGTAAGGCAATGGGGAAGACCCTGGGTTTACTTGATGCTCGAATATATATGTCGCTGGGATGACATGCCAGATGGAAGTAAGAAAGCATTTCTCTGATTTTATCACTAACACTGGTAGAGATCCCATTTTCCAGGTAGAGAGGAAGTCCAGCATCTTTCTGGAGAAATTCCCTGCCTGAGAGACTTAGGCAACACGATTTCAGCTTCTCAACTGCAGTCACTCACAGAATGGAGAAATCACTCAGTGTGCAAGGGAGAGCAGGTGCTCGCCTATGTGTCTCTCCTGCTGGCACTTGCACGCGCTGCGGTGCAGGGAGGACAGCGTTGGCTGGCACAGGCCCGGCTCCCGCAGGGCGCAGGGGCGCACGCTGGGGCTTCGCAGGGCAGGTTCCTTAGGGAACACTTGCGTGTTCAGACTTTTCCCCCAAAACGGCTTCCTCAGCCAGCATGGCCCATCCAGCCTGGGCTTCCAGCCACAGTCTCGTTTTCCCAGAACCAGCACTGGCAGCTGAATCCAGTCACCAGCGCCGAGGTCCCCTCCTTCACGCTGAAGTTTCCCTTGCGGGGGTCCTGTGCATCCTTTTCTGTGACTGTGCCAGGGCAATCTCAGTCTATCAGAAGAGCTTCTCACAGCCCATGCTATGTTATTACATCTTAGTCTTGGGTCGGGGGGGGATCACAAATAACCTCACTTTTTGACAAAACCCAAAATTTCCATTTACACATCTTATTTTTAAACATAGATGAAAAATATTACTCTTGACTATTTTAATCTGCTGCGTTTCATGAAGAAGGCTTTGAGAGGCCACCCGGAGTGAGAAAGGTATAAGATCACGAGGGGCAATTTTCCACCAAAGAAGGAAAGCTACACTCACTTTAATCATTAGTTATATAATTTTTTAAGGCTAGGGAAAGAAACGATTCTGTTTTAAAATGACAGACAGAAGCCCTGGTAATCTCATCTAAGAAACTTGAAATAACTTGCCAGTATTTTTTTTTTCTTTATGCTCTAAATTCATTTTTAGTAACAGTGGAAGCAATTTGAAATGAAATACAACACTTAAAGCAAATGAAGCGGAAATGAATGCCAGCAGCAAATGGCAAGAAGAAATTCAGTTCAGTGTGGTCTTCCGAAATCCTTTTTTGGACGAATGTTGAAAGCTGAATTCTTATTCTGATTTTTGAAATTTCACAATTATGATGCTACCCAACGCTATTAAAATGAGCTTTATTTTAATATATCCACTTGTTCTTTTAATAACAAAAGTTTGGCCTCAAATAGACCCAAGATCAGATTAACACCTGTAATTTCTCTGTGATATTTCTTTTCTCTTAGATTTGAAATAGAAAAAATGATTGCCTATATTAGTGCCTGTATTACCAGCTGTAGCTTCCAAAGTATACTAAGTATTTTTGAGGATAATAGATGTAACATCTGGAACTAGGTCTTTTTGATATGGTAGATACTTCATATAAAGAAGCAACTATGATTTTTATATCTGATATTTGCATAAAAATAACTTGTCCCACTCTTTGTGGTTTAAGCTTTTTCTAACAACTTGCAATAAATTCTTCTAAACTGAGTTTTAAAAATTTATGGTCTGGAAGTTGCTCGTTGTAAGGTATCGGGGGAGCATTTGGATTCCATAGCGTGATGGCTAATTTTGCATCAACTTGCTTGGGCCATGGTGCTCAGACATTTGAATAATATTCTGGATGTTTCTGTTATGAAGTGTTCTGGACGGTTTTGAGTAAAGTAGATTATCCTCCATAATGCTGGCGGGCCTCCCACAATCAGGAAAATCCTAAATACAACACAAAGCCTCCTTCCTCCAGCAAGAGGGCTTCTTTGCACTCAGCTTATACCTCCTGGGTCTGCATCCTACTTCCCTGCTCTGCAGATTTTTTAAAAAAGATTTATTTATTTATGCATTCAAGAACTGGGGTGCAGGCCAGAGTTGTGTGCGAGGGGGTGAGAGGATTCACCAGGTAGGGGGGTGAGTAGGATTCACCAGAGACAGAGTAGGGAGCAGAACAGGCAGATCTACTGAAATGCACTGCTGAGGCGAGGAGCGGGCAAGACAGGAGAGGTCTGCGGTGCCATGTGGGCCAGCCGGCCAGGGGATCAAACTCGTGCTGCAGTGGCTGGTGGTAGCACCACTAGGGAGGCCCCCTCTGCAGATTTTGAACATCTACCTCCACATTCGTGCAATCCAGTTCCTTAAGCTAAATCTGTGTTTCTCTCTCTCCCTTCTTTCCCCTATCCATCTCTCGGTCCCTTTCCTGCTAAACACAAGACAACATTTCCTGGATTATACTAAGGAGTAACAGTAGAAAATTAAAATCTGTACTAACCATCCTTGTGTGGTTCTGTAGAGTGCTTGATAGCAAAATTTAGGAGTAGTCAGCGTGAACTGTTTGACTCTGCAAGTTACACAAGTTTCCTTGTAGGGAGAAGTTCAGGCCACTCTCAATGGCATCTAGGATGGGCAGGGCAAGAGGTGCCACAGGAGGGAGCTGGGAGGAGTAAGGGTGCATTTAAATCTCCCTTTCCCGTTCTTTAAAATCCAGACTATACTTTTAAGGGAATCACTTTCCCTACCATGGTTTGAAGAATTAGCCAGAAATGCACTACTGGTGCTTGCTAATTGACTTTGAGAACTATTCCAGGTGGCTACAGCTTTCTCCATCTGCTTTGAAACCCCCTCTCCAGTCTGCTGTCCCGGATTTCTCTGCCATTGGCATCATTCCTTGGATGCTTTCTCTCTGCCTGGCACAAACAGATTGATTACCTATTTGGCCAGTCTTCTGTTCTTTGGACAATTGCTGCAATATGTGCAGCTTCTCAAATTGCTGGCCTTTGTGACCAGCAGTGAGTGAAGTTTTACCTTCCACTAATTTGTGTAGGCTGGAGGGCAGGGTGGGAAGCCCTTGTCAGGTTCTTATGTGAAGCAAAATTTGTGTCCAAATGTCTCATGGAAACATAGATATGATTAAATTATCCAGGATATAGCATAGTACCCAGGACCATATAAGGAGAAAGTATTAACATGAAAGGAATATGAATATTTAGGATTACATGATGCTTGGTAATCAATAGTTATTTGATGATATGAAAATGGAGATCCTTTTAGAATATCACTTACTAGGATTTGGTGGTTATACAAAGAATTAAGCTTTTCTATTTATTATTACGTCTTGTGTAATGTAAGAATTTGCCTGGCTAGGGTCATGGTTAGTTTGGGATATCTTTTGGTTTTATGGTAATTTTGAAAGTAGGAAACAATTAAGCTTTGACTCCTGGAGTTTGTCTAAGGGGCCACTTGCAGATCTGATTCTGCCTACTTTTCAGGGAGAAAGAGTTGATTTCGATTACCAGATCTCCATCCAATACAGACATTCCATGAGCATGTTATTGCTTTACATTGCTGAGGATTACGTACTGAATGTTTATTTGAATAAACATTTTTGAATAAACATTTTTATGATGGAAACAGTATAGTCAGGAACTTCTGGAATTTTTTTCTTTCTGTCAATTTATGCCGCTGCCTTCAGAAAGTATGTTCTTTTAGGGCCTCTTGTTTCTACATCTGTAAAT